AGAGAGAGAGAGAGAGAGACCCCACCACACACTGTGAGAACGGAACATTACCCAGCTCACAAAAAGAGAGATAAATTGGTAACTCCAGTTTAAAAAGGAAACTTGCTTTATGTAGAAACTGAAGCTGCTGCATTGGGTTCAATTTCTATACAGAAACTTGTCTTAACTTTCACTAGCTATCTTACACATGAGGATAATAAATATTAACACAAAAGTGAAAATTCTTGGATTTTCACACTGATAAAATTCTATTGCCATTTAATGAAGTTTTTATTTGAACAGTATCAAATCTTTCCCCTCCTGGAGAAAGACATTTAAGGTAACTATTATAACACTACATAGCTCAGACAGCAATATCATAACCAGGCTACAAACTGGGATAGAGAGACTTCAAGTATATTCAACTAGTTAAAAAACCCATAAACCTTATTGCTCAAAAGTCATATTTCTAGAAATAATATGCAAGATAACAAATCAATTTGATTTTTTGCTTTATCGTGATAAGAATGGCTATTGTCATATTAATTATTCTATGGTACACAATCTAAGACTGTAGTTCTGTGCACACTTGCATTAGGAAGTTAGTTCTTAGTAAACATACATATCTTGTAATATCTGAAATTATAGCAGTGCAATCTGAATGTCAAAGACTGATTTTGGGCTCTAAAATGGCTTCTTAACAAAAAGGATCAAATGTAGGGAAAGGACAGGTCAAAGGATATAAAGAAAACAACAAATGTAACAATAATTTCTGTTAGTTACTTATGCTGCGTTTTTCTACTTTAAAAAATACAACATAAGCTATTAAAATATCCAAACTGATTTCATTGTTATAAAGGTGATTTTTGTTTTATAATTTCAGATGCTTCTTGTTATCTCAGCTATCCTTACCTTTGCTCTTGTGGATGTTCTTCTACATCTTCTTCTGATTCAGCCTAAGAAATAGAAGACAAATCATGAATGACATCACCAAAAACAGCTTTCCAGCACCCATTTGTCATAAGCAATCCCACTGATATTATTCTGAGACATTTTGTTCAATGGGACTCCAATAATTTAAGACACTTGATGCAACTCCCTGAATTTTGCAAAACCAATAAATTAACGGTAAAACACAACAATTTAAAAAGCATTTCCATGAGCACAGTTATTGAGTAAAGACCTGCTTGATAAATTCTGTCATATTAACATATCAAGAGATATGTCCCTGAAGCACATTACTCTATGACTAACTCACAAAGGAGTCCACTAGGGAATCTTAGATCACAATTCTGCAACTGAAGTGCATACTCGCAAATTACACTTGAATTTAGAAATTATCTCTCAAAGAACCTCAACCTATATGTTTTCCTTCAGCCTCAACAGCAAAGAAATAGCAAGACATTTTCTGTCTGGGTGATTTTTTTCCCCCCTCTACCCACTTTCATATAATATACAGCCTTCCAAAGGGGGGGGGGTAAGATTAAATTGCATTTTCCCCACAGTCCCTTGGGACTGCACATGCAAGTAAGGCATGGGTACACAACATACGTCCTGCATGTGGCGCTGGGCATGCCATGCAACCCACAGCCCAGCCAACAACCATGCTCTGTACCCCTTTCTTGTGATGTTGGAGGAAAGAAAGAGGATAGAAATTATCATCTCCTAAGCAAAGCTGAGGTATTTGCAGTTGCCATAGCAACCGCAAAATCTAGGCTAGCTCCACTGAGATCCAAATGACACAGGAGAAGTCATCCTTCCTGCCCATTTGAGCTGGCTCAGATAGTACAGTCACAAGGATGACCAAAGCAGCCCAGATGCCTTGGGAGAACTCAGCACCTCCCAGACTGGCAAATTATGATTCCCTCACCTGCAGCATCTCAGATTACTCCTATTTGATTTATGGAAGAGATGTTCCTCCCACAAGACATCCAGGCCTCTCAAAAAACACAAAAACAGTGTTTGCTGTTTGCTGAATATTTTGACTATTGGGAAGGACAGTAGAATGAAGCATGTTTTCAACTCTGCTCTTGGTATACTATCAGCATAATGTAAATTAGTCTGTAATAGGGGTTATTAACTGTGACACAGATCTGGATTAATGCATGAAAACTAACACTGCAATACTATGCAGAGTTACTGTAGTCCGAGCCCACTGCATCAATGGGCTTAGTATGGAGTAACTTCTGCACTGGACTGCAGTGTAAATCACTGATATACCTCTTTTAGGCTTGCAAGTTTATAAACATATTTATTATACATTTACTTCATTTTTACCCCACCTTTCTCCTCAACTGGGACTCAAATTGGCTTACATTGTTCTCCTATCCTCCATTTTACCCCAAAATCAGCTCGGTGAAGTAGGCTGAACTGAGAGTGTGTGACTGGTCCGACATCACCCAGCAAGTTTATATAGCAGAGTGGAGGTTCGAACCTGGAGTTTCCCCCGGATCCTACTGGGGAACTTTTCAGCTATCAGAAGTAAATGTTAGCAGGTCTTCTGTTTCCTAGTGGTAAGCATTAAACTTTCCAAGAAGATACATTACAAATCTATGAAACTAGACCTCAGTAGTATATGATCTATGCACTAAAAATACAGACTTCATCAGCAATCCTAACACAAGCTGGCATGCAGGTCTATACAACCAGACTAGACTGTAATGCAAGGGTGTCAAACATGCGGCCCGGGGACCGGATCAGGCCTTCGGAAGGCCGCAATCTGGCCTGCAAGGCCCTGGCTCTTTCCTGCTTCCTTTTCCAGTTCTGCTGCTGCTGCTACATCACAGCTTACTTTACCAAACTCTCTCAATCACACAGGAGAGATAGATAGGCAAGCCTCTCCTGTGCAATTGAGAGAGTCTGGTAAAGCACTGGCTGAGGCTCCTCCCCCTCCTCCTCCCAGCCAGAGCTCGCTTCCTGGCCGGGCTGCCTCAATCATATACAGGAGACAAAGAAGAGAAGAAGAAAAGATCAGATTTATACCCCACCCTTCACTACCCTAAGGTGTCTCAGAGCAGCTTACAAACTCCTTTCCCTTCCCCTCCCCACAACAGACACCCTGTGAGGTAGGTGGGGCTGAGAAAGCTCTTGACAGAAACTGCTCTTTTTCAAGAACAGCTCTTATCAGAACTACGGCTTGCCCAAGGTCATCCAGCCAGGTGCAAGTGGAGGAGTGGGGAATCAAACCCGGTTCTCCCAGATTAGCGTCCACACACTTAAACACTACACCAAACTGGCTGGGAAAGGGAAGCTTTTCTTTCCTTCCACTGGTTGAGGCTCCTCCTTAAAGCGAGGCAGGGAGGCAAGGAATGAGGGAGAGTCTGTTTTTCTGGGCTGCCTCAATCGCATGGCAGAAATACCAGGCACCTTTAAGACCAACCAAATTTTGTTCAAGGTATGAGCTTTTGTGTGCCTTGCTACATTGCGTGTGTATTCTGTTGTCTCCCTATGCTGTGTGCGTGTGTGTGTGTTTTCTTGGGGTCCTTATGCCAGGGCTCTCCTGGGTAGAACTAGGTTTCCTCCCCCTTTTCATTGTGTTTATGCCCTCATGACCCAGTCTTTCTCAGTAAGAAAGCAATGTGAACTATTATAGAGGGGAAATAACAACAAGCCAGTGAGGTGGAGTAGGCTAAGAGTGTGTGTCCAGATCAAGTTCACCCAGCACATTTTCTCTGTAGGAAGTTGTAGTTATTTCTCTGAGGAAGACTATAATTTTGTAGACAAACAGCCCTCAGTCTGTGTCAGGATGCCTTCTCATGTTCTTGACCAGCACATGAAGCAGCTTATGTACAAAAGCTTGCAATGCCCAGCCATTTCATGTTTCCCTGTGGGTCCTAGGCTCAGAACACTGAGTATGAGATTTCTATAATGAATGTCAATAAATCAATCTATAATGAATGGCAATACTCAAGATTGCTGTAGCACCGACTTTTTGATGCAATCACTGAGAGCAAGAGGTGTTAGTTATCAGAGACTGTTAAATAGACAAAATATTGCAAGAGTGCTAGTGTTTTAAGCATGTTTTATTTAAAGTTTTAAAAAATCTTTAATTGTGTTAATTGTCTGTGTCCTTTATAAAGTTTATATCTCTGCTACCTGGCATTACGTTTTATGACACACATGGCCTGGCCCAACAACGTCTCATTTTTGTCAGATCTGGCCCTCATAACAAATGAGTTCGACACACCTGCTGTAATGCTTCATGAAAACAGTGAGCCTGTTCATAAGGAATGCCCAACTGCAGTTTGCCATTATATGACTAAAGCGCAGGCTCACACACAACTTCCTCCCCTCTGCTTCCTCTACTTTAGTGCTTACCAGAATTTGCCATTACATCCAAATTGGCAAACTATAGTTCACACTTTCCCCTACAAATCACAACTGCAAAAGGTTCCCAACTGTGCCTTGCAAATTATTCTTTGCTGCTTCAAGTGCAATAGCAATCTGTGACTTGCATTAAATAAGAAATAACTGATTTAGAGTGAGCAACAGGAGCTGGGTGTCAAAGGAAAGACCATGAAACTGCAGTGGTGATTTCATGCCAAAATGCATTTTCGCATTATCTGCGAATGACCCAATTAAAAAAAAAAAAGGCCTCTGAACAGCTGGCATCCTCTACACTTCATTGTATCTGGGGCTGCTTATGAAACAGGTAGTGCCTGCCTTTTATATTACTTGGGACTTGTTTTATTTTTAAAAGACAGGCAGAAACATTAGCTAACAATTTTTATTCTAGTTGAACATTAGGGCTGCCAAATGCCCCCCAGGGGGGCGGAATTCCCCCCGCTTTCCGCTCCCACGGAATCGGGGCCCGAGGGAAACCACACCCCCATGTGCGCGTCACCCGGAAGTGACGTCGCATGCTGGGGGGGGCACGCCATTTGAGGGGAAAACAAAGAGTTTTACCCCCAAATGGCTGCCATTTGAGGGGAAAACTCTTTGTTTTCCCCTCAAATGGCGTGGCTCCGCCCCCAGCGTGCGACATCACTTCCGGGTGACACGCGTGCACGCCTAAGACGCCGGCCGGGAGCCCCCCGCTCCCGGCCAAAAAACATTTGGCAACCCTATTGAACATCCATTTCAAGACAGTCTTAATGCAAGCACCTTGGGAAATATCTGTGACAAAGTTAAGTTTAAAAAAGTGGAAATCTGTTAAAAGTTGGGATAAAGCCATTCTTAACACCTTTACCATTACCTTGTTTTATTTAATCCATGCCCACAAACTCCACAAAATGAAAAAAGGAAATGCCACCACTTTAAAGTATTTAAAAACAGATTAGCCAATGAGTTCACAATGCAAAGTTCAAAACAAAAGTAGCTATTTGTGGTTACTTTCTTACTCACTCGTACATGACAATTACCGTTAAAGTGAAGCTTAAAAACAAACTGTGTTTGTTTATATGAGCACACACACAGACACACACAATGAAGAAAACCAACTCAATCCAAGTTCTGCTGACTGAGACAGTCAGCTGGGGAAGGGGAGGTAAAATGCCCAGGGTCATTCCTACTCACCTGAAAGGTTAGCAGAGACTTGTAACAAGTGTGGCAGAGCCACTGCATACACACATGAAAATACATACATGTATTTACATGCATACAGAGAGAGAAAGAGAGAAAGAGAGAAAGAGAGAGAGAGAGAGAGAGAGAGAGAGAGAGAGAGAGAGAGATGACAAAGGTACATATGGAAGTGTTCAGAGTTTGAGTTCATAACCTATTTATTTGTCTTCTATGAAGCTGTTTACAAAAGAATTGAATTTTTTTCACAATCTCTAAAAAACTCCTGAGGCCCATCAAGTTTTACAATAAAAATAAATTCTCAAAAGCCTGTGGGAACAAGACTGCTTTATACATCTTCCTACATCTTGCCATAGAAATCCCTATATGTAGGCTGGTCTTCACCACTGTTAAAGAAATGAGCACTGGCTTCTTACCAGGCTAATGAAGCCCGATCAGTCCTGCGTGCATTCTTTACTAGAAGCAACTAAAACTCTTCCCCAGGAAATTCTAATTCTGTTCCAAGAAAAGTTGGTTTCTGCAAGGTGCAGAAATTATGCAAATAGTTAAATCTGCAAAATTATGTAAATCTGTCCTTGCCTCCTTCTCCCTGTTTTTGTGTAGAAAAGGAGAACTAAGGAGCTGTGCTCAGCCATTAGAAATCTTATTCCAATCTTAATAGTTTTCAAAAGTTCAGCAACATTAACTACATCCTCTTAAGAAAATTCTTTACATAATTTTAGACTAAATGGTTGAATTTCAGTAAATTTAATAAGTATGCAAAATGTTTTAACACCACTACAAAATATCCAGGTATACGAAATATACAAATATAATATGGACAATGCCTTGTTAGAGTTCACAGAAACAGACGCTCACATTTTTCCCCATTTGTGTATCAATAATGAACATTCTTGCAGGAAAATATTTGCATGCAATCCTATACATGCTTCCTCTGAAGGAAACCCTTTAGAAGTTCAGCTGTACTTATGCCCAAGCAACTCTTTAAAAAAATACATGTTTAAACTGTTTATGCCACTCTACCAACACTTGATATTTGAAAAATCTCAACCAATTAATGCTCAGTACAGCTACTAAATCTATATTATTGTATTTACTCATGTGAAAAACTAGGGTTCCCCCATAAAAACAAGGGACATCTTATATCTCCATAAAAGTTTCAGCTGTGTCCAGCAATAATTTTTTTTTACATAAAACTTTTTTTAGGGACATGTGTACTATAATTACTGGCAGCCTACAAAAAAGACAACTGGACCATCGTTTACATGAGAAAATTTGTATCTCTAGCAAAATTTCTATAAATGTACAGTCCTCCCTCCCAATCTCCTGGTGTGAAAAAATAGAAAAAAACATTTAATTCAGAAATAATGTGTAAATTAACAGCTACTGTGAATTATATATTCCCGCCCCCCAAAATACATCTATCGATATACCCACACACAAACACACAGATTCCAGTAAATTCAGGTGACCCATATTCTTCAACCTTTCCCAAGGACATTTAGGGAAAAACTCATGATTTTACATTATAAAGAAAAATATGATATTTATACTGCATCAAGATATGTCAATAAATAAAAAAACAGAACATATTGAGCCTATGCACTTTCACAAAAAAGTCCCACTAAATTCAGACAGACCTGCTCACAGGTAAATGTGCATAGGGTTGCAATGTAGACTATCTTCCAAAAGAGCACCACTACAGTATACTAAACGGGCCTGTCTTGTAAAGCCAAGTGAAACTTTAATATTCTCCTTACCAAAAGAAACACATGCTAGCTGATATCATTTCCTGTTCAGAGAAGTCCTGGTAACTACATCTGCTTCTGAACCTGGCAAGGTTTGTTTGTCTAACTACCGCTAGCAGTCTTCACATAAGGGCAGCTTTTCCTACCTTTATGTGGCTGCTGAACTCCCACCTCCAAATTTCCTTACCTGAGCAGGCATCAGGAGGTCTCCTTCCTCTGCTTGCCATAACTCCACCACATTGGGAATGGGATCAATGACTATGGGAGAAAAAGGGGAAAACACAACACTCACTCAAAACCCAAACTGCCATTTCAACGGAGGGCGATGGCTGCAGAGGCAGAATAGACCTCCACATACAGAGGATGCAAAGCAAACCACTGATTCTCACGTGCTGGAAGGCCTTGTCTTCTAAGCCCTGTTTTGTTAGTCCTCCAATGGCTACTATTTGAAACAGTACACTGCCAGGCCGCTGGTCTGATTTAGCAGGGCTGTTCTTATGTTTTCAAATAGAGACGATCCTTGCGCTTAGGTCCACCCCACTCCTCCATCTCTGTAGTTTGCTTTGTATGCATGAGGCTTTGTTTTGGTTTGCTTCTCTACTGGGAGAGGCTTCCATATTAAAAACTGCAGTGGCTGATCACATGTGGAAGGAGGAAGGCAAACCTGGCGCACAAGAGGTGGGTTTGGAGCCAATTTGCAGCAGATCAGAACAAGGCGGCTGACTCAAACCCGGGGCCTCCCCTAAAAGCGCCTCCTTGAGCGGCGCTGGGGAGGGGGGAGCATCTCTAGCTCAGCAACGCGAGCCCGTGCAGCGTGTTTCTCGGGGGAAGGGAGAGCACGAAGCCAGAGAGAAAGAGAAAGACGGGAGGTAATGGAAGGAACCCCGCATTGTGTAACGCCGTCCGCTCGCCCAGCCGCCTCAACCCCCCCCCCCCCCGACGTATTGTACATTTCACAGATCTGTCACAGGACTACAACTGCTTTATATTCGGCGAACTGAACGAACAGGGCGAGTGACAAAGCAATGGAACGCCAGCAAAGGGGAACTCTGCTCCGCGCTCTCCGGGCAGGGCTGGAGCCATTAAGAAGACGACACAGAGCTGCACAAAGGGAAGATGAGGAGAGCTTTTCGCGGCCGACGACAGGCACCGATGCTGTCGCATGCGGCCTCCTTGGGGGGGGGGTCCCCTCCCTCTGCGCCCTCTCCCCCCCGCCGCTGCCCACCCCGCCCGCTCCCGCTCCTCAAAAGCCCCGCTCACCTTGGCCCTGCGCTCCCCCCGGGCGAAAGCAGGGCAGGAGGACCTGCAGGACTCCGAAGAGGAGGTTCATGGCCGTGGCTGTGCGGCAATAGCTGCCTTGCTGCGGGTAGCGCAGCCCCGCCATGCTGCCGCTCAGGCGCTGAGCTGGCTGGCTGGGCTACAGCTGTGGCAGCCGCCGCCTCCCTCCGCTCTGCGCGTGTGTGCGACAGAGATAGGGAAGGAGGGAGGGAACGCGGCGCGGCACAGGGTGGAACATTGTCAATGAGAGGGCAGCCTCCGCTCCTCGCTGGGCTCCGCCCCGAGGCGGTGGCTGCTTCTCCGCAGAGCGCTGGGAGAGCACATGGAAGGCAGGCTGACCGTGGCGGGGCTGCCTGGCGCGCTCTGACACATAAACACTGACAACAGGCGGCCCTGCTCAGGCCAAGCGCCCAAAGCCTCCATGTAGGCCCACTGCTCTGCGTCAGAATTTCGCCTACAGAGCGCAGCAGCAGCTGCTGCTTTCCCAAACGGCGCCGGGGCAGGAGGGGGAACCTTTCTGTCCATGAGAATCGGCAACACGCACGCAGGGGGTTGTTTCGTAAATGTTTACTTCTCGATGCAGCGGAGCTGCTAAAAGCACAACACGCTAAGTATGGAGGTGATCACCAGCTCCAAACAACGTGTCAGCGTTCTGTGCGCACATGCAACCCAGCTCTGAGCGTATTTATGCAGCGATCAGCCCTGTTGGGTTGGGGAAGAATTTTATTGGAGTGCTTATTGCTGCAAATGCGGTGTACAAGCAACGGTGTCGGAGAAGCAGAGCTGGGTGACAGTAGTGTTGTGATTACTTCCAGTCCCACGCAGGATCAAAGTTCATAAATTAAGAACGCCCAGGAATACCCGTGTGTTTGCATACAACATAGCCTTAGCATTCTGATAAGAAGGAAGCAATAACATTGTGTCATGTCAGTCTCTTTAAAATAAGATACAGGAGCCTACAGTGCATTAGAAACAAACTGGGAAAGTGCTGCTACCTTTAACTCCTCTGCATTTCCCCCTTAAACAGGACAGCATTTTAATAGGATTAATTAATCGGTGGCCACCCTGGGACATAAGCAGGAAGAATCTGTGGCGTGCCTGTAGAGAAGCTGGAGGGCTGGTGGAGCTGGCTATGGCACAGAGTCGAGCAGGGTCCCATCTGCTTTCCTGACACTGTGCTACAGCCCATTTCTGTCGACTGGATGAAACCCTCCTCAACTCAAGGACCTGCCTATGTCCATACTAATAGGGTAGTGCCTCACACAGTTTGGACTTGACAATCCTAAGCATGTTCTCTCAAAAGTCAATACCAGAGAGTATTTCGTTTTATGGATTTTACTTTAAATGTTTCAAGGGCTGCCACTTTAATCACAGATTAAAAAAATAAACCTCCCCCTGCTTAGTCAGTAGGGTCAAGCAAGACTCCTCATGGATTCTGGGTTCTTGACAGGAAGCCCCTCTGGCAAAGCAGATTTTTTTAAAAAAGAAGAAGAAGAGATTGGATTTATATCCCGCCCTTCACTTGGAGTCTCAGAGCGGCTTACAAACTCCTTTCCCTTCCCCTCCCCACAACAGACACCCTGTGAGGTGGGTGGGGCTGAGAGAACTCTGACACCAACTGCTCTTTCAGGAACAGCTGTGCCAGAGCTTGTGACTGACCCAAGGCCACATCAGCAGGTGCAAGTGGAGGAGTGGGGAATCAAACCTGGTTCTCCCAGATTAGAGTCCGCACACTTAACCACTACAGAGCAAGTTATTCAGAGCAAGCCCACTATAACTTCCAGATGCAGAATGGGTTGAATCCTGCAAATCTTCCTCCAACACAAAAAAGTCTTCCACTTTTCTAAGAGATTCCTCTGTTGTTGAGATTCAACCCAGTTAATATATTCTTTATCAAAAATATCCTATGACAGAAAATGAGATTAGATTTATACCCCACCCTTCACTCAGAGTGGCTTACAAACTCCTTTTCCTTCCCTTCCCCACAACAGACACCCTGTGAGGTAGGTGGGGCTGAGAGAGCTCTGAGAGAACTGTCCTTGAAAGAACAGCTCTGACAGAACTATGGCTTGCCCAAGGTCATCCAGCAGCTACAAGTGGAGGAGTGGGGAATCAAACCCTGTTCTCTCAGATTAGAGTCCACACACATAACCACTACACCAAACTGACGAGAGAGAGAAACAACTTTGACCTCCACACATGGAAAAATGGGAGTGAGGCAGTAGAAACCTGAGGTGGTAAGAATTACTACTTCAGACTACACAGATGAATTATGAAGATTTTTCTTTTTAAAAAACAGGCAATGTTAATAAAGCCATAGAAGTACAGGATGTCACATTGTCTTGAAGGTAAATGTAAGCAAGATTAACTACAGAGACTATTGACAATAGCAATAACTGGTGATAACGAAGGCCTAGTCTACATTGTGACAGAATGAGGAGGCAGGGCATGGAGCTGGTAGAATGGGCTGGACCACTTCATGAAGCAAATGAAGGTTTGTTTGTTTTTGTATGCTCCCTCACATGAATACCTCCCTTAAGGTAAAGAATTAGCACTTCAGGAAAAAATGTACTAGCCCAGTCCACTCATTGCTATGCTTGTTTTCTATCTTCAGGGGGATGTCCATGCAGAGGACAGGGGTTTCATGCCCCACCTGCAGTCTAATTTGGTGCAGTCCACTCTTATCACACCTCTACACCTCCCCATTTCCACATCTGCTGCATGTGTGAACTAAACCACATCCTCCCTGGTATTGCTAAACTGATCGACACCTGCAGTAGCTGAGAAATACATGGTCTTCTGTTCAAGTTTTGATAAGGAGAATCAAAGAAACCAGGCAGTAAAGGAGTTGTTCAAATTCTACCATCCAAGGGTTTCTCCAGGGAAGGGGAGAGTACCAGAGGTCTCTTTAGAAAAAGGCTCTTAAAAATAAGATCAGATCCTTTTACCCAAACGATGGCTTTATTCAGGGCTTTTTTTGTACAAAAAGCACAGCAGGAACTCATTAGCATAATCGGCCACACCCCTGACAGCACCACTCATTAGCATATTAGGCCACACCCACATGTTACCAGAAGTGTGGGCATCCAGCCACACCAACCTTTTGCTTCTTATTCTGTTTACCTTGTTTGTTGTCAAAACCCAGAGCTTTTTTTGTAGCAGGAATTCCTTTGCATGTTAGGCCACACACCCCTAATGTAGCCAATCCTAATGAGTTTCTGCTGTTGGGTGTGGCCTATTATGCTAATGAGTTCCTGCTGGGCGTGGCCAACTCAGGAGCCAGCCGGAACTCCGTTCCTGTGCGTTCCTGCCCAAAAATAGCCCTGGTTTTATTGAATCAGGCTAGGCTTCTGATTTCCCCCCCCTTACAAGAATAAACCCTTCTAATAGCAATTTCAATCTTCCCTACTTTTAGTCTCCATTCTTTGGTGCTCTGTGTTCACTTTCATCTCTTCACATGCTCCCTTCAGATTTATCTGGTTTTCAAGCCTGATCCACGCTCAGAAGCAACAGAGTTTCAGAGATCAGACCAGAGAGTTAGCTCTTAGATTGGGCAGAAGCTTCCTCAGTATAGGGCCCCCACCTCCTCTGTCAGCAACAGTTCCTGGATAATCCCTTGTTTATTCCTATTAAAATGTAGAGCTCAGAAATTTACCTAATGCTGTTAAACAAAAAGACATACATTTATTCTTGTGGGAAAAAAGCTAATAAGAGTATAATGTTGGGGGTTTCTGTTTTTAAAGCAGAACAATTGCTTTGAATATACAAAATACCCCTTTTTAACTGGAAAATTCTGAAAAGGAAACATGATTGATCAGATTCGAGAAAGATTTTGCAATGTGATTTTTTTTGTTCTCTGTGGTTACTTTGTACTGTTACACTTAATGAAACAGTAACTTAGATGTATCACAATATTTGCCAGCAACATTTGAAATATACATAGGCATGTGCATTTGCTGTTTTTAAAACACTGAGGGCCAGAAAGAAATACATTAGTCCTACTATAAGGTGCTTGTCCCTACTGATATAAATGAAAACTATGCTACTGAAATCAATAGGGCTATCTATATATCAGTTAATGACCTGCAGCATAAGCAGCAATTGAATTTTGGTGTGACAAATCAGTCCCATCTTTAAATAAGAATGCGGAACCCAATGAAACACATTAGTGCTGTTCATTTATGACAGACAGAGTGGAGCTCACTAAGTTCCAATGTAGCCAAATGGAAGAAAAGTTAGGCATGGGCCTTGGTCCAAAAATCACTTTTGACTTATTTTGTAGCACTGGCAAGTAATCCCCCACACCTCTCAAACATTCCCACCTGACAGGGAGAAAGCTATTAGGCATTTGTAATCCTATTTATGTCTTCCTTTTTATTTATTTTAAATTAATTATTCATTTATAGCCTGTCTTTCATCCTATACAAAGAAGCTCAAAATGGCTACAAACATCATGAACCTAAAAACATCATGAACCACAGGCAAAAAATCAACAAAATAAAACAGTCTAGATTCTGACACACACACAGGAGTTTCTGGTAGAATCATCAGCCTTCTTTAAAGAGTGCTTTGAAGTGTTTCCTCAAAAACAGCCATGACTGGTATTCTCCTTACCTCCTCTGAAAGGCTATTCTACAAGGAGGCTGCCACCACACAGAAGTCCATGGTTTAGCAGCAGCTGACTGAACTATCTTGGTTGCAATAACAACCAATAGAAACTGGAGTTAGGATACAGATTCATACCAGGAAAGAGGGTCCTAATTGCGTGTCAGGAAATGAAGAGCTTTAAAGATAAGAACCAGCTAGGGATGCCAGCCTCTGGGTAGTCTCTGAGGATCCCCCAGAATTACAACTGATCTCCAGGCAACAGAGATCAGTTCTCCTGGAGAAAATGGATGCTCTGGAGGGTGGACTCTGTGGCATTGTACCCCACTGAGGTCCCTGTCCTCCCCAGGCTCCACCCCCAAATCTACAGGAGTTTCCCAGCCCAGAACTACCCACCCCCTGGCAACCTGGCAACCCTAGGGCCACCTCTGTCAAACTGAGCACAGAAATATACACATAACTGATGAAGTTGCTTGTAATAGGCGTGATATGATTAGACTGATGGACTTCAGCCAATAGAAAGCTGCTCTATTTCTACCAACTGAAGTTTCTGTGTTGTCTTTAATGGCAGCT